TTGGTAGTTGCTTGGTGGCGACACCCCACCCTCCCCCTCCAGGGTCGATGGCAAAATTTTAGGAGAACTGGAAAATTTGTTGGAACTTCAAAGCTTTGCTAGGATTTACAGAGCCACGTTTTCTGGTTGAATCCAAAAGGATGTTCACAAGAGCAAAACGTGGTCCTTCCCTCTCCTCAGCCATCCGCCCCATCCCCCCCACATCCGCCCCCCCCCCCACCTTTCCACCGAATCGTGCCATTTTCCGATTCTGTTTGCTGTTAATTCCCAATCTAAGACCAAGTCTTGTTCCTAATCTCCTCTTTTCGGACGTTTTGCCTTCCGATCTCATAACGTTGAGTTTACCCTGCCACCACTGATCTTATTACATCCCCAATGGCGCATGAACGCCCTAATCAATCATCAAAATCAACCCATTCAGTTTCCTGAAGTCCATTACTCAAAGCTCTTGGGATTTCCTCCCAAGGTGGATTTTTACTGAGTTGGGGTCTTGCTCACAGAGGATGCTTCGGTGTTTGAGAGGGGCTGGCTTGACGCAGCGCCCGTCAGTTTTTCACCAACTGTGAAGGAATCAAGCGACCACAATTGGTAGAAAAGCGGCTGGCGCCAAAGCCAGCCTCCCTGACACGCTCCAGCGTCCATAGCGAATACGACTATACATTAAGTTGAGTTTCTACTGAGGGAAAAGCCCAGCTTCCCTCCACGAATTTCATCATCTAGTTTTCAATCCTCGTGATCTTCCGGGTTTTCTCTTTAGCGCAACACTTTCTATGAAGGTTCTTGCGTTTTAAGCTTTCCTGTGTCACAAATAGAAATTGCTCAGAGTTCCAATTTCCTCCGTCCCCTGGCTGAATAAAATCTGAATTGTTACGATGCTCAAAATTAATTGATCGATTTGTCTAGTTTCAGCTCCATCGAGCACGAACGGCGATGCGGCGTTTGCCATTCAAAATGGTGCATATCCGATAATCAGCATGGAACAGCATAATAGTACGTAACTATACCATATAGTAATTTAATAAGTTTTTATCTTGAAAAGAACCAAATCGATTTATTGACCATATTCTTCCCTCTACCGTATTTCACCGCTTATCACGCTCTATATGTATGGCTCATATGATTATCGTGTGTGGTCGGTGTGTTGCGTTTTGCGGGGTATTGAAATCAAAAGCGTGAATTTACCTTTCTTGCATCGTTGTGAAGTGCGTGTGCCTTGAAATCGGATTTACGTGCGTGACGCAGCTGTGTCGAGCCCCGCCCATTTGGACGAGTTTCGCGGACATGCTGAGTGGGCGGAGCTCCGCATGGCGGTGCCACCGTTGGCTTTGTGCAGAGCTGTGCGCACACAGTTCATATCGAGCGCATGAGTTTCCTTACCAGCGTGATTGGTGGCGAATTTCTCGTACTGATTTCGAATGAATGTTTGCTGGCGCTCGGCTACTGTATTTCGTACACATATATGTACATTTGGGCCTACTTGTTCATATTTTTCTGAGTTTTAGTGGCAACTTTAATAAGTTTTGGATATCTGAGTGAACGTATCTATGTATGTTTCTCCAGTACACTTTGTAGTGGTTGCTGATTGGTGATTTTGTGGAATTTTTTGTGGTTATCGTTTAGATGTGGCGCTGCAGCAATTGGCGCAACTACACCAACAGGCTGCGGTCATGCCGCTCGTCACCCCAAAAGAGGGTACGTATCCGTGTCTCTAAATCTGTGTGTCATCGTTAACTGGAATTTTCTCCGTGTCTCCGCTCGATAGCTCTGGCTCTTTTGGCAGAAGCGATGGGGGTGCTGCACTTCAGCAGCTAAACCTAGTGCTCGTTGTCAGACTTTTTGTGACTGAGTGGATTTCCTGTGCTTTCGCAGCGGTCTTTGGCTGCGTTCATACTTCGCGGCAGCGTCCACCAGCGTCTACCAGCGTCCACTAGCGTTCTGAGCGTCGGCAGCGTCAGCGACTAGGAAAGTATAGATATCGATCTAGCATCTGCCAGCGTCTGCCAGCGTCCACCAGCGTCTGCCAGCGTCTCTAGGGCTAGGGAATCCTAGGTAGCGATCTAATGTCTGCCAGCGTCTGCTAGCGTCTACCATCGTCTACCAAAGTTCACCAGCGACCGGATGTAGAGAGTGTGAGTAGGAGGGTAGCACAACAGCTGGATTAGGCGTCGTGAAACAGCGGAGTGTGCAAGCGTACCGTACAACTACTCTACACCGCACATTAGAATTGCAATTCTGTGCTTT